ATGATGGATTCCCACGATAGTTTTAAAGATTTTTGTGAAATTTTGGAAAACTACCCTGACAGTTTCATTGTTCAATCAATGTCTTTTTCAAATACGAGGGGGGGGGGGAGTTCACCCTGTCATGTTATGTCAGCCTATTTTAAATGATTTTTTTACTTTAAATCTTTGCATAAATATCATAAGCTTTATGTGTTTCAATTTCTTCTTTTTTTAACAAGAGATCCCAGAGATATCCCAGAGAAAAAATAAATAAATAAAAAAAAAGATGGTGTATTTATGTTATTTTGAGACATATTTTATGATATCAATTTCATTATAATAAAATGTTTTACTGAAAAAGTTTATTAAATTTGACCTTCAAGACATTGACCTTAACTATTATTGAGGTCAATCTCTGCAATATTGCTTCATAATGTTATTACATGATGTTTACGGCATTTTGTCACTTTGGCATTTAAGAAACATGTGCATGTATTTTACCTTTGTGACCTTCACCATTGACCTCGACATTGCACCAAGCAAACCAGGTGTAAATCCAAGCGATATTACTTCACAAATGTCATTTAAAGTTTACCATTAAGAAGATGTTAAAATTGATTTACATCACCTTGACCTTTCACAAAATGACCTTGACCTTACAATTATAAGGCAATTGATATCATTCACAACAACTTTACTTCATGATGTCGTGATGTTTACCATTTTTGACCTATTACTTTATGACCTTGACCTTACACATGGAGCAATTGTCGTTATATCTCCGGTCTAATAACCTCATTACAGAAGAGAGTTAACGTAAAAACGAAAAATGTAAGTTTGTAACTTAATACTTCTTTTAAGTATTCCTTTTTTTATATCTACCTGTTTCTTATTTTCACTGAGATAAATTTGAATAAAAAAAAACAAGTTCATTTGGAAAAAAAACAGATTTTATTTTTCAATTTCAAAGAAGACCTAGAGAGTCGTTCAAAGAAAAATATGGGGCAACTAATTATGAATTTTATTTTTTTCCTATAACAGTGTACAACAATTATGTCAGTCAAGATGCTAGTGCTTGTGGTGTCTTTACGTGGGAGGAAACCAGAGTACCTGGATAAAAACCCATGTGACTGGGCAGGTGACCCCCACATCTTTCCATGTCTGATCCGGGATTCAAACCCTGGCTATCTTGGTGAAAGGCGAGTGCTATCCACTCACCATCCGATCATGACCCCATACTCTTCAGAAAAAAATTGCTATCAATGAATATTTATCCGAAACAAAAACGTTCAAACTGAAAAGACTGGGCTGTACAATAATGCAGATTGATGGTAAGAATAAGTTCTGCGGATATTGTCGAGACTTTGTATTTTTTTACAGCTGCATTTGACATGTTATCATTCCAATGATATTGCATGCCAGTGTTTTTACAACATGCATTACCCTTTCCCTAGGGAAGGACAGATCTATCTTTCACCGGTAAAATTCCCGATGAGGTGCTGTCAGCATGGGAAAAATGTATAACAAAGAGATAAACCTATTGATTAAATGACTGACACAACAGTTTGGTAATCGCGATGTCACAAAATAGGTAATCGATAAACTATTATTCCAGTTTTATTATTTAATCATGATTAAAAAAAAGAGCCATTATCTCGAAGACAAAATTGATCTATAACAAGAGGCCCATGGGCCTTAACGGTCACCTGATATATTTATACAGAGAGTTGATTTTGTTTTTAACATGAACAGAAATATTATTCAAAATGACAAAAAACAATAAAACCACCTTACTCAATATCTAGCATACAGATTTCAGACTAAAAAGGATTTGAAACTAGCACCTCTGATTCTTAACAAGGAAAATGAAGAAATTTTAGCACACTGACTCCTTTGAGCCCCACCCTACAGCCCTTGGGGGTAGGGCTGGCTCAAAATTTTCAAAGTATCAAACTGTCAATTCAAGGTTATAATTCCAATCAAGTTATTAACATGTAATATTCAAAGTATCATTTGCCATTATAAA